TTGTATACCATTAGTGACTTGGATTCTCTTTTATAAACTAACAGGAAGAAGTGAAATGGGAAAAATGCTTGCTGTGTTTGCTTACAAAACTCTAGGAAAAAGAATTAGCCCAAAGTTTTAAATCACAGCCATCTTCTAAATCAAATGTGTAACAGGGGTGATAATGAGTGTAAACACACTGAGTAATAAAATGTTAATTTGTGTTCTGAGTCCTAGGGCTCTAGTCCAAAGCTCACTGATGTCTGTGGAAAGACTTCCATTGATTTGAATTAGGCCTTGGCTTTTGTCTTGAATGAACACAATACCAGTGGAGCTATTCATGAGAGAAATGTTTGGAAATAAATCACAGGAACACAGAACTGGAAAGAACTTGCTGTGCCAAACCCAATTCACTTGCTAATTCAAGCACTCATGTTTTACAATGCTGCTTGTGTGGATACTTTGTCGTAGTCCTGCGTATGTACTATAACCAAATTCAGTCTTACAAAAATCTGTTGCTACTGCTGCTGCAAGTGGAAGGTTGTTCCTGGATCATTACTCTGATGTTTGAAACCTCTTTTAACTTCTAGCCTAAACCTATTTATGCTAATTGTTTCCACTTGTTTTATGCCAACATAGTCTTCTAGTCTTTACACAGTATATTTTGTCTTTAGTGTATACAGTTCTGGTAAGCTGCTCATTTCCCATCTCCTCTCAGGCTTTGCTTTGTTTTTCTAAATAAGCCAAGCATTTTCATTTCTTACTCAGTAAGAAGGTACTGTAGCCTTTATCTGAATCTATTCCTGTTTGGCTTCATCCATCTGGGATACAGGCAACAAAACCTGCATTTTTAATGAGGTGTAATAGTGCTCTGTATAACGTTATTAATACTTTCCTTGCTTTACTGAAAATACTTTTCCAGATACATCCACTATTTTTTTTGCCTCCTTATGGCTGCATTTCACTGATCACTTTTATTGTGTGAATTAGAGGATCTTGGTTCCCAGGAGAGTTTCCATTTAGTAGCAGAAATAGTTTTTAGTCCAGGATTGCATAGCTTTGCCCTTGTACCTTGAGGTTTTTCACTTGTGTCTTTTACTCCAGTGCTTGTTTCTGCCTTGGATGATGCTGTTGGCTGTCGTAAATGGTAACAATCAAGCTTGAGTAACCAGCAGCATCAATTAGTGTGTTGTTACTTTGTGCTAATTTTGTTAATTAGAAAAACCCAACACTCTAGAAACTGCCAGAGGTGGTGAATGACAGCTGATGGGGGCTGACACAACATGACAGGATAGAACTGGGGCAAGGTGCCCAGTGTTAGGCAAAGGAATAGCGAGCTGACAGAGGGCACGGAGCCCACCAGGGAGAAATGAGAACTTCGGCAGGATTGGTCAGACGAGGGCTACTCACGTTTGCCAGAGCATTAGCTGGGGCTCAGAGACATCCTTGGGATGGATGAAGACATGCCAAAATGCCAGAAATAAATGCATCACTCGCGACTTTCTGTATTTGGACTTTTTAGGAGTAGCAACACTGCTGCTTAATTTCGGACGTTCCCTTATTTTTTTTCAAGAGTTTTCAAAGTATTCTGATTTAAAGACTTATTTTCTAAAAGCACCTTAAAAATATTGAATCCTGAAAGCGCTTTAAAAGTCCTGAATTGAGAGGATTATGAGTCTTGAATAATTTATCCACAAAACTTGAAAGGGAGAGAATTTGCTTAGGTCTTTAAAATGTGTATGATACATTTTCTTGTAGATTGGAATGACTCTGAAAGACTTTCATACAGATAAGTGCATTCAGCAGATACTAGAAGGCACAGGCAATAGCAATTAAGGCATAAGGCGTGTCCTGGGAATTAATATCAAGCTGGGAGGAGTTGGGATGGCTCAAGATGCAGCTGAGGGCCGTTAACTGCAGTTGATGATTAATGACCTCTGCTGAGGTCATTATTGTTATCAGCTGAAAATGTAGAAAAATTCAGATGTATGAATCTTCGTAATGGGTGATGCACTTTCAGTTGGTGCAGTAGATGTGTCTCGACTGTGGACAGACTGTCCTGTATCGATGTCAAATGGAGGGCTTGATTTCTCTCTTCCCCACGGCGTTTTGGGAGCGTTAATCAAAGCTGGATCTCTCAAGCTGCGCCAGTATCAAATTGAAAAGTAAGCAGAATAAAGTCCATAGCGCTGTAATGTTCTCCCAGTGTTACATTTGGCGTCCAGTACTTAATCAGCTTTATTTAGAGATATTCCCAGCTGTCCCTTTCGGTGCCTAATGAGAACGCATCCTAGTACTGTCCAGAAATGTGCCCAGAACATTCCTTGTGCTCGCTGTTCTCGGCCCCCCATCTGAAATCTTGTCCTCCCTCCTTTTGCATTATGGCCCTAACGAAGACCTAGGTTCCACCTTGTCAGATGCGCTGTGCACAGAGAGCAGGCACACGGGGCTGGCCGATGCAAGGAAATACTGCTGTGTCCATACAGGGAGAATCTGTTTCCTAATCAGCAGTCAGTTGTAATAGATACTTACTTCCCAGGGGCCAGAGAAGTCCGTGCATGATTTCCTCCATGGTTGGTAAAATTATTTTTTTTTCTTTATATGATGAATGATTTCATTGTTGACTTATGAGGAAACCAAGAGCTGCTACAGGGCACTAGGAAATACTCACCTTGCTGCTTATTTTTAGCTTATGTGACCTGTGTTGTAATACCTTGATCATCTCATATATGTATATATATATGCATGTGTATATAAATATAAATACCTTGATATTTCATATATGTATTTAAGTTTGTTTACTTCAAGGTGCTTTTTAAAAAAAATACTGAAGAAGACTGAAGTAGGTAATACAGGTAACAGGTATAAGCTTTAATTCGATAGTCACTATTATCTTTTATTTAGATTATACACAGTACTGCATGTTTCTGAACACTGAGCAAGTCCTACTTTACCCATACACTGGTCCTCTGTCCCTTTCTCTCCCTTCCCCCAGCCCTCTTCCCCCGGTCATTGTGAAGGTTAAAACCTTCACAAATCAAAATTCCAAGCAGGACAGGCCTGGGATGACTGCCGCTTTTGGCTGACCTTTATACAAATGTCACTGGATGTAGACTTATGCTCAGGAAAATGGATTTTGCAAAACTGTAAGCAAAGCAGTTCAAAAAAACATAACTCAGGTGTGAAATGTTGACAAATTGAACATTAGGTAGTATGACTAGACCCACTTGTACAAAGCTATCAACTTCACACTGTTGGTGGGATTACTGCCTGCCTTTATTCACCATCAACCAAACCACTGAGCTCTCTCCTCTCTTTTTTTTTCCCTTCTCCAAAGTATCTCCTGTGGTGAGAGGAAGAGGTGAGTGAGGTCAGACGAAATGAAATGAAAATCATGAAAGCTTAAGAGACCACAGGGAGGTTCCTTTGAAAGAGTGCCAGAGATGGAATATCAGTTGTGGGGAAGAAGACCACAGAGTTGGCAGTGAATGAAAGGAGATCTGGTACATGCGCATTGGCGTTTCACACTCCTTGCCATGAACCTGGGCTGTTTTCCTGGTTAACTCTTTAACAAATGTATCGTGCTGATAGTAGGCACTCCCACCCACAGTGCTACTCGTGCTCCCTGATACAGCTCCACTGTGCTTCAGGACACGTTTTTCTAAGAAGTTCTGGATTCTTTGTCTTGTTTGTACGATCAACAGATGAGAAGTGAAGTACTGAGGAGATTACATAAATTGCATTTTCTGTTTCGTCTTCTGCAGCCTCTACCAATTATCCACTCTAAGGGATAAGAAATTGTTTTCCTGGATGAGAAGAAAAGAAATTGTATTTCAAAGCATGTAAAAACATGCTTACTGGCAGACATATCAAAGAAAATGTCAGGTTATTGTAATCATACAAACTTCTCCACCTGAGATAATAACCCTCACTGTATGAAATGATGTGGCAAATCATCTCAAACACTGTTTTTTTCAGGATAAAGAAGGGGCTCCTAGAAGAAGGGGCGTTGCTCTGGCTGATTTTCCATCTTCTAAGACTTCAGGTCTGGGTTGCAGTAGTTAAAATGCTAGGACTTAATGTGCAACTCACAGGATGGCAGTCTAAAATCTGAGTAAACATAAAGGCTAGACTAAATGATAACTGCTACCTTTCAGTCTTAACATTTTTTGAATCTAGGCTTGTGTGAATGAAAAGACCTGTGCAAGTGTGTCAGAATTGATTTAAGGACTTCGGTTTTATTTGGTGGTGTGGAACTAGTCGTCTGTGTCGCATAGTTTACAGACAAATTGCAGAGAGTCTGATCCTCCAAGGCTGCTAACGTACCTTGAATTTCTGTCGATCTCTAAAGAGGTACACTTCAGACCTTTCTTTTACAATGTTAAAATATCCATATGTGTGTCATGTGGTTTTGAACATGGAGTTCTACAGCTAAACATTTTTAAGCCTGAAATTTGTCTTTGGGACGGGTCACTGTTTTCAGTTACTTAATGTTTTCCCTGCTGTTACAGGAACTCTTGAGGAAAGAGTGTATTTCTGTGCTAAATATTTAAATTAAAGAACATCCAGAAAAAACGAACATGCAATACAAAATGACCCTGCAGTGTTCATGTAACTGTAAACCTCGGTTATAGTGGGCCTGACTTTGTCTGCTGACTCCATTGTAATTCAGCAGAATGTTTGCTTTTGTACAGATGAAACCACAGTTGCCTGGTGATTTCAGTCATATGCCCTTTCCAGCTTCATTTCATAAGTCACTGTCACAGTTTTGCTCAGCTTTTACAAGAAGTTCAATAGCTGCTTGGTTCTCTGTTTGGAGACCTCTTCCTCCAAACGTTTTGCGGGGTTCAGCACTTCCAGACCAGTGCTTTCTTTTCACCAGAGCCCTTATTAGTCTATGGAGACCCACCCCCAAAGGCCACAGGCTAAACCTCCTGGTTAAACAGTTGTCGTCAAGTTTCAGATTATTCTTTGCCAGAGCACAAAGTTAATCTTCAGCATTATTTCTTTTTCATTTGCAGGAAAAATTTGAAGGCTTGTTCCGTGCCTATGATGACTGTGTGACATTCCAGCTGTTTAAAAGCTTCAGGCGTGTGCGGATTAATTTTAGTAGTTCCAACTCAGCTGCTCGTGCCAGAATAGAGCTGCATGAAACACAGTTCAGAGGGAAGAAGTTAAAGTTGTATTTTGCACAGGTAATGAAATCTGTTATCTACTTGTATGTTAGCGCATAGCTTTTATAGAAATATTGCACAATAACACTGAATAAAAGTAATAAAGGTTTCTCCCATGCCCAATCTCTCTGTTAAAAGATTCCTCAGACATTCTTACATTGCTTGAGCTGTACCTGCCCAGCAGCTCTGCACTAAATTTAATGGACCACTTAAAACCCAGGTTGCTTATTCAACGTACAGAAGTTACGTAGCTTAAACTGATTTAGAACATTGGGTATTTTCTGTGGGTAACTCTCTAAAATAACCATTAGAAAACCGATAAAGTATCATAAGTTCATAAAGAAAGTAGGGCTGAATTACTTATTTGACTGCAACCCTGAGCCGCAGTCAGGCTTCCTCCTGCCTTTTTCTTTTTTCCTCTTCACTGAATACATGCGTGAATTTTCTAAAAGGAATTCAGTAATTTCAAGTAAAAGGGAGAAGACAGGGGGAGAAGAATAACCCCCGCCTGGGGGCATAGGTGACGACATCCATCTGTTGGAAGTGTCAGATGGGCATTTCAATTCTTCTTGGCCAAGGGTGAGAGAACCCAGATCTCCCACAGCCTGGGTGAGTACCAGGCCCCATCCAGGGTACAGGTAGCTGAGGAAGGTTGAGAACCCAACCGCCACCTCTTCTGAATGTATTTTAATAAATTACTGTGGCCACTGTGGCTTATGGGATACTCACTCGTGCTTAAAAGCAATGTAAGCGTGCCGTGAGCTGCCAGGTTGGGCGTTAAGGGCCTCGGGTTAAGGGCAGGCCATTTGAAGATATCAGTCGAACCGAAGTGACAGTTAAATTTTGAGCCTCTGCAGCCTGGTCAGAAAAGGAGCTGTTCTGACCCTAGGGAGAAACAGAACCTGAGGAAGGTGGGAAACTATGTTTGTGAAAACACCAATGTGCTTAACGTGTTAGATGAGTTCAGATCTTACAGACGGGTTTAGGTGCTGACAATCCACCTCAATCCCATTTTATAAACCTTAATCTAGATCTGGCTCTGAATTTTTTTCTGAAAGGTTTCAAAACCTGCTGTTAAGCAGATCTGAGAATCATTTCACTCTAACTGCACAATCAGGAAAACTGTGCATAGTAATGATTAGTTTCCATATCTAAGCTGATTTCCTGCAAAGCCATTTAGGTATCTCACTGTGCTCTCCAACAGATGCAGTCTTAAATTAGTTGTGTCCAGGGAATGAGTATGTGGAAGCAGCACAATGTCTGGAGCAGTGTGTGTTTAGATGGGCCTGAGCCAGACTGAATAAGCACTTCCAGAACTAGAAGTTCTGGGGAACAAGGAGTGGAGCGACCCAAACTGGCTCCTGGCAAAACCTGTTCCGGTACAGCAGGGTGCTGTCACACAAAAGCAGTTTATTGCTTCTGGGCCCAAACTGGTTGTAAACTTGCTCAGGTACGGCTCTAGTATAATTCATTTATGTTGATGCTTGTTTAACATACCAGAAAAAAGCAGAAATTTAACTAGATAATTTAAGACGGAAATAAAATGAGAACAATTAGTTGCAAATGACTAAGAACGTGACAGATTTCTTTATCACTTCAGCTAAAATCAAATCTTCAGAAACCTCTCTGAAGTTACTGATAAGGCCTTGGTGTGGGAGTTACTGGTTTGTTTTCTAAGGTCTGTTTTTATTTAGCAGTTTAGGCCAGTAGATCACAACAATGTCTTTTCAGCCTCAAAAATCTCTGAACTAGCAGCAGTGGGAAGCTACCAAAGCTTTGCATTTATCCTCAGAGAACATATACAATAGGCACAAACATTGCAGCTTTGCTCATATAACAGCCCCCTACAGTGTATTTACTGTAGAGGAACCATCTGTAAAGTTGAGATCAAATTCATCTCCAGACCTTCTCTGCTGAGGCTGACGCTGAAACCCTGCCTGGGTGGCATTTGGTATCAGAAGTGTGTGAGTTGAGTAATCATTCCATTTACCCATCCCATACTAAACAATGTATTTGTTACGCTTTGAAGATTCAGACCTCCGAGACAGATGGAGACAAGCTTCATTTGGCACCACCACAGCCTGCAAAACAGTTTCTCATCTCGCCTCCAGCCTCCCCACCTGTAGGGTGGCAACCAATAGATGATGCAACACCTGTCATCAACTACGACCTCCTTTATGCAGTTTCTAAGCTAGGACCAGGTAAGCTTGTGATCCTTGTGTGAAAATGCGTCAGAAAAAGCAAATGAGAATTAGCAGCGTAGATAACTGCAGAGGAAGCTGGCGTAAAGCCTACAAGTTGCGTTAAAGCTTTGGATTTAAGTTGATGCGTGTCAACCTGTTCTTTGCTCATGAATGAGTTTTACCATATGTACGTACAGAATTATATTTTATCTGCAGCTCATAACTGCTATTTGAGTAGCAGATCAAAGCTTGTTTACACAATTTATTGCGCTTGGGTTTGTGCTCAGATAAGACACCTGATGGTTTATGTGGGGACCGTGGAAATTCTCGTCCATGAACTTGACGAGTTTCTGCTTTAAATCACATCTGCTTGGTGCTGCATTCCAAGATGCACAATACCTCGTCAATTGTTTCGGCATCGCTGCAGCTCCACCAGAGCGGAGAATCTCTGATGTTAACAACTTCGCCGAGAGAGAACTACCATCCCCAGTCCTGGCACGGTCACTCTGTTGGGACTCCCCCGGTTCTGTTGAAAACTGTATGCAGAAGGAATGGGCTAAGTTGTAGCCTCTGTTAACACAAGATGGGTGTCAACAGGTAGTGCAAATAGGCCTTCTTCTGTCTTCCCATCTTCAGCTAATGCCAGGAACTGAAGCTAGCTGTGTTTTTTTTAAACAATGCTTCCCCTTAGAAAATACACATCTGATGAAACCAAAACTTTTCATAGGAGAAGATTACTTTTGATTTAATTAAGTCATCTTTACAAATAATTTTCTTTCAAAGCTGTTAAAGCATCCTCTCTTAAAATTTTCAAAATGCAAAAGGTTCCAGTTTCAGGTCTAAGCAGTATCATTTGGAAATTAAGTCAAATTTACATCTGCAAACCATAAGAAAAAATAGCTTGTGACATTATTTTCATATTAAAATAAAACACTTCAGATCCAACCTAATAACAATTTGGGGGTTGAGCTCATGAAAATTTATCAGAGTGTATTTTTGAAATTCTTGTGGGATGAGAGAATTTTTTCCTCCCCAGCTGTACTGAAGATGTTGGGTTCTTGTTCTGAGATGAGGTTCCAGGTGCAGGCATCTTATCTCTGGGGCTTTTGTGTAACTGCACCAGAGTAACCCATAGCTGAAGTGTGTGGGGTGCAGGAAGAGATGTTTCGTGATTCACAAGGTTTGCAGGATCACCTCATACCTTTTTCACAGGAGATCTGTCACAGGGGGGAAAATATATATCAGGAGAACATCAAATTTCCTGTGTTTTATTCCCCTTCAACAGGAAAGCCCATAGAAAAGGGCTGTCAGGTGTAACACTTTGTACTGTATTGCATATTATTATTTCTAGAATTGATGCTTTTCCTCTAAACTGCTGAATAAAAGAAAAACAAAAAACTTTTTTTTTTTTCGTTTGATGCAGCAGTGTTATAAATGGAAACATGGAAACGAATTCCCTAGCTAGCTGGGTAATAAATCAATTCCTGTTCTAGAGCAGTGGAATGTGAAATACCACTCATTGTCCCACACGCTGGGACAGCTTTGCGTGAAGGTCGTATTCACCCGTATTTAAGGAGCCTGCAGGGAGCAATATGAAAAGTCATTGTGTGCTCTCTTCTTGCTATTTTTAGCGCTTGTTAGAGAGATCAATTTTAGTTAACTGCAGTGGCGGTTTTAAAGTAGTGTTGCAGTTCTCAGTTGTGCATTTACTATGTTTAGAATTTCATTGAAAAACAAATCCCACCAAAACTCATTTCTCAGTATCACATCAGTAAAGATGCTGTTGTACATCAAATAGCACTGTTAGCCTCAGCTAAGTAAGATTTTTTTTTTTTTTGCATTTAAAAAAAACAATGGAAAATGTAACTACGGCTTATCAGCTATCAAAAAATGCTCACTGGCCCAGTTGTTTACAGAACTCTGAATATTAGAGCCTGATTTCTGTGTCTTTAACTTATGAGGAATCTTTGCTGTATTAAACACACGGATTTGGTAAGATTAATATCTGAGGACCAGGAAAACTCATTTGACCATGTAAATAGTGAACACTTTCTTTGTTATGTGCTCAGTACAAGAGGAGTTTTACTGACCTAGTTTGCTGGGAATGTAAGATACACTGCTTGGACACAGACCCATGCTGCTTTCCCATTCCATAAAAACACGTCATCTCCTTTCGCAGTGCGCTGCCGTAGTCGTCATTGCCACAGAATTAGGGACTAAAACTGTGCCTAGGTGCCAAGGCTGGGAGATTCGCTCCAGAGTAACATGAAGGGGCTGGAAGCTAGTTAACAGATTTGCTGCGTGTTGTCCTTTTCTAAGCTCAGTGTTTGGACAGGTAGTTTTTTGTGGTGGTTTTTTTTTTGTTTTGGTTTGGGTTTTTTTCATCCTTGTGGCTGCAGCAATGCCTGTCTGGCAAGGTCTAATGGAAAAGATTTCTTTTTGCTGTACACAAAAGGAAGTTGGCTTTTGGTCCTTTGACATTAAATTGAGATTGGTGAGGGTGCGTTTACTTCTTAGAAAACACCATGGCATATTTAAGTTTCTGGTTGATTGATGTATATTCTCCTTTTCTGCAGATGCAGAGATGGAGCTTTAAATGAAGCATGAACAGAACGCAATAGACCAGTCAGGGCCAGAACTGTGGCCGTGCCTGGTTCTGACCACCAGCCTACAATTTTTTCAGTATCTTGCAAATAAAGAAGTGTGTTCGTTAATCTCTTTGATGAAAAACACTTCCGCTGTCAAGAGAACTTCCCGTAGTTTGAAGTACTGATGAAGATACAAAGGCATTGCACTGAACTAGGGTGGTAGCTTGGCTGTTTGCCTGTCGGGCCCAGGTTGTCTCTCTGCCTGGCCAGACTTGGACCTATCTCTTTGCTGCGGGAGCACTTGCAGCCCACCAAGCTGTTGTCTAGTCTAGGCCCTCATGTCTTCTCCGCAACATCTTATAAAGTCTTAGTTTCATCCCACTGAGGAGTACAGGAAATCATTTTAGATGAGAAAAGTTTGTTTCGGAGGGTGGGGGGGAATCTCCAGGTGTAGGCTATGTGTATACAGCAGAGCTGCTCTGCCATTCCCGTTCCATAAAAACACGTCATCTCCTTTCGCAGTGCACTGCCGTAGTCGTCATTGCCACAGAATTGTGTATTATGTATTAGTGCAGCAGTTTACAAACCAGCACCATCTTCTTGGCACTGCAGTAAGTCGTTATTTTCTGGAAAACAGTCCTACCCTCTCCCTACCTACCCCCCAACCCTTCATATTTCTTCCCTCCTTTCCCCATTGCCTCTTTCAAACCTGTCACCCCAATTTCTTCTCAACAAACTGCCCTGTACCCCCTCACGTTCTGACTCTGCACTCCAGAGTGCCTTTCCCCAGGATCCCAGGTGCTGCCCTGGTCTCCCTTCGCCGTTCTCAACCCCTGCCTGCCGCTCACGCAGCAGCTGCCCGGACAAATTGCCTTTCTCCCAAGGCTTTGATCTGCAGATCGTGGCTCCACCGATGAGGTCTGCACTATACAGTAACACGCAGTGTAGGTTAGGGTCCTGAGCCTTAGCTGTTCCACCTGCTCTCCAGTCTGATTTTGCCCTCTGTCACTTAGCACTCACCTCCACGGTTTCAGGCACTATTTGAAAACCAGTGCAGGCTGGGCACCATCTCCTATAGCCCATGTAGACAAGTTTGTACCAGTTTCGGTTCTCTCCACGTTTCCCAGTCCCTCATCAGCATTCCAGCAGGCTTTGCACCTCCTGCATGCCCTCAGGCTACACTCCAGGTCATGTAAAATACATTTTTCATGTTATGGAAGCCCCATTCTGAAGTGTTACGCATGATGGCTCTTAGGTCCACAGTGGCAACTCTTGGGATGCAACGGAGACCCTGCAGCAGTCTGCGCCAGTTGGCTGCTGGGTCTGTGAACGATGCGTGGTCAGAGGAGGGGTTGGGTCGGGGTTTAATTTTTAGACAAAAATTCTGTTTTTGAGCAATTAAGATGTAGCTATTCCTGCCAAGCTCTAGGTGGGCTGCTTGAGGAGGATGCGTAGCTCCTGCCCCAGCTCTGCCCTGGGTTTGGCTCGCCCTTGCCCAGGGAACGGGGAAACGGGGCAGAGCAGGACCCTGCCCAGTAAATGCCGCACACGGGGATTTCACACCATGTCTCGCACGACCAGTTTTCTATTCCCAGGTGATTTCAAACTCTCGGGTTTGTTCTCACTGATTCAAAGGAAATACTAAATATTTCATTTGACTTCCAGAAAGGATTAAAAGGGGGTGAAGGGGGAGGCAGATGGGTCATAGATAAAATTTTCCATCTCTGTCCTTCCTCTCCCCTCTGTTCTGTGGCTGCTTCTGCCCTTCCCTCCCCTTACCAGGGCCAGGGGTACAGGAGAGCTGCTGGGTGTAGAAAGCTTTCCTTCTGCCATGTTCTCCTGGCCCGGAGAGGAGGGTGCCCTTCTCCTGCAACATCAGTAACGGACTTCCAGAGAGCAGCTGCTCCATCTCGCGTGAGGCAGTGCATGCACTGGAGGTGTCATATGGGATGGGTGCTTGTATCTCTTCCGACACGAACACACATCCCTACAAAGGACCACCCGTTACTTGTACCATGTTATTTGTAAAGCACTTGGATGAAGGGACTGTAAGTGGAAGGTTTTTTTACAATGCTGATGACATGCTTAACGTGGAATGGACAGCTCTGAACCCGTTAACCTTGACCATGAGTCAGAATCAGGGATGAGGTAGCTGCACGCTGTCACTCCCATTTCTTCATCATTAATTAAGTCTATGAACATACTCTTTGCTCGACAAAAGAGCCTCATTAGACAAGAGATGCACTGTCAATGAAAGGTCATAGCAACGATTCACAAAGGGATAGAAAATCACATGCCATTCTTTTTAATTCTGAAATATCATCATTTGCTTTTGTGCCGTCCTTGCGGTCATCTTTCTTGTGTCACCTGTGGGTTTGCTTGTGGTTAATGTGGTCACAAAAGGGAGTGGCAAGTGACATTTCGACACTGTCTCCCGTATCATCCTCCTAGGGAAGCTCAGGAAGTGTGGGCTGGATGAGTGGTTGGCGAGATGGATTGAGAACAGGCTGAATGGCAGAGCTCAGAGGGTTGTCATCAGCGGTGCTGAGTCTAGTTGGAGGCCGGTAACTAGTGGCGTCCCCCAGGGGTCAGTACTGGGCCCAGTCTTGTTCAACTGGATCAACGACCTGGATGAAGAGTTAGAATGTACCCTCAGCAAGTTTGCTGATGACACAAAACTGGGAGGAGTGGTGGATACACCAGCAGGCTGTGCTGCCATTCAGCGTGACCTGGACAGGCTGGAGAATTGGGCAGAGAGGAACCTGATGAGGTTCAACAAGGGCAAGTGCAGGGTCCTGCACCTGGGGAGGAACAACCCCATGCATCAGTACAGTGCCATAAAGAATTGTTTTGTACAAGTTTTGCAGCAATAATGATTTCTTCCCAGCACACTGTGTTTTGACTAACCTTGGAGAGTATTTATGAATTCACAATGTCTATGACTGCTATATGTAGATTAAGCCACTGCTTTCGATGCATTTTTTCCTACTGTTATTGTACAACTATTCAAAAGAATAAACACTTAATAAGAAAGGAAACTGAACAGTTTATCTTATTGGCAATGCTGGTTGTCATATGGTGTCATATGGTGTCATATGGTGTCATATGGTGTCATATGGCCCAGTGACAGGACAAGGGGCAATGGGCACAAACTGAGGCACAGGAAGTTCCGTCTGAACATGAGGAAGAACTTCTTCCCTCTGAGGGTGACGGAGCACTGGAACAGGCTGCCCAGGGAGGTTGTGGAGTCTCCTTCTCTGGAGATATTCAAGACCCGCCTGGACAAGATCCTGTGCAGCCTGCTGTAGGTGACCCTGCTTCGGCAGGAGGGTTGGACTGGATGACCCACAGAGGTGCCTTCCAACCCCTACCGTTCTGTGATTCTATGACATAAAAGCTGCTAGGCCCATTATTGAATGGTGAAACTTCAAATTCCTATTTTTGTTTTCTTACATGAAGCAAATAAATAGAGGAACATTGCTGCTCTTTTCAGGGGTATGTTAGGAACATTTTCTGACAAATCTGTATTGTGGAGGTGCCACGGCTTAATTCTTCCTTGCGTTATGTCCTGAAGGTAGAGTTTAGATGTTTGAGCACATTTGATGAATTTTGTGATATTTTTCTGAGTAAATTTATGTAATATTTAAACAACTTACTAAGGGATAGAGATAGCCCAAAGACTGCTAGAGAAGAAAGACACCTCTTCCCAAGAGTTCTTTCACTCCACGTGTGCGAGTTCCCCAGGCAAGCGGGAGAAGCGGGAGCAGTGGGACAGTGCAGGGCCTGAGAACTCCAAGGAGGACAGCATCGGGGACAGCTGAAGGAGGTAACTGGACAGATGCTTGAGTGGTAATAGCTACCATAGTTGGTGAGTCTTCACTACACTAGCTCGACTTGATACCCTTAGCTTGGGACAACCTGTATCTTGTAAGCATAACTCGATTGCAGTGATTCAGTCGTTACTCCACTAGCTTAACTGCTGCAGATTTAGCTCATATTTTTTTTCTTATGCTGGAGGTGGTGTTTCAGAGGGAAGAAAAAAACATGGAAAAAAGCAGAAGGGAAGGGGATAATCTGGCTGTATCTATTGGATTTTTATTTTGTACTTACTATGTTAGTATTTTTCTGCAAACAACAGTTACATTTAGGAACAAGATACAGCTGTGTACAAGTCCCGTGGTTACTGCTGTCCTCTTCCTAGCTCAGCCATCAAAAGGTTTTCTGCAGTTTGAGCCACAGTTCTGCAGGCATGAATAATTGTGAGTATCAACTGAGTCTGCAGCTCATTTATGCTCAGAAATAACTGTATGCCTTAAAAACCTGATTTATGAGTGCATCACATTTGGATTTGCAAAGTGACATTAATTGCTGTTGCAGTTACTTGTGCCAGAGGCATCTGAGTATTTTTCCTTGTGCCTGTACTTACTTCCACTGTTCTTTTTCAGCGGAAAGAGTCCTTCTGGGAAGGATTTGAACAGTAAAAGAATGTGGCATTTGAACTGGGATTATTACCTTTTAAGAGGGCAGTGAATCTGATTTACTTCGCGGCGCCGGTGTACGAGGAGAGGGCCCAGCGTTGCGTGTGCGCAGCGCTGCAGAGCTGCTTGTAGCTGACAGTGACCAATGTAGCCGGGGGTGCCGGCTGGCAGGCTTGACGTCATCAAAGAAAATCCAAATATTTTCTCAATGCAGCACAGCCAAGCTATTTCTCTTTTTATATTTTAGCCTATCAGCAAGACCTGTAATGCTTTGCTCAATTTGGATTCAGAGGAACGGTTGCCAAAAATAGAGCAGTTAAATGTCAACATTAATGGTATCACAGCAGTAAAATATTTCTCACAGCAAGATGCCTGACTTATAGCTATTATTCACTAGTTGCCTCCTGTTTTTTTAGGCAAAAATGCAGCATGTACTCTAGGTGCAAGCCTCCCAGTCTTATTTGGACCAAGAATTTGTCAGCACAAATAGCATGTGAGCACAGTCCCAGAACTGTGTGTGCTGATGCAGGGCCAAACCCGCAACCCCTTCCGCACATGAATTTCTCTGCCACAAAGTTGTCAATAAATAAACATCCAAATTAGGAACACAAGCAAACCACAAGCGCTTTGAGGTGAGGACTGCCATTTCATTTTCATCGTACAACACCTACCGCTGCCAGGTTCTGCCTGTGGTGCAGGCAGTTGGGAGCTGCTGCACCGCAAGTACAGGTCAGCTGGGTACACTGGGACCTCACCTTCCTCATCTCAGAATATTTTGCAGGCAATATGCAGTGGTTCTGGAGCAGTCTCATGAAAAAAAAATCCAGGCTGTCAGGTGTGCGTGTGGTCACTGTAAGCCTATGTAAATCTAACTGTGGCTTGTGGGTCCTGGAGATGAGAGTGATGACAAATGGTCCAAAGAGGGGCCGCGCGTTGTCTGGAATGCTTTCTAGTTCTTAGTGCTGCGAATGGGTGTTTGTCACTTCTGAGAGACCAAATCATCCTGTCAGAAATGTCACCTCTGGGACTCTTTTTCTTTACAGTCTTAAATTAATTCCTTGCGATTTAATAACCAATACCTACTCACATCCTGTGTGCAATCCAAAACACATGCAGTGGCAGCAGACTGAAAGCAGGACTGGAATTCCTGTGTCTGATCCTGATTCTCCTTTGTTTGCTTGTGGACTCCTGCAAGTAACCAGCGAAGCCATATTCATCTTCCTCGTAGGCATACTGGGTGGAGACTTAAATAAGGAATACACATAGTCAGAAAATCTAATGCACTGTTCAAGCGTTTAGCCTGATAGTGAGCATTTATAGACTGTACTCTGTAATCTCATCTGTAGAGACAGAATTTGTTACAGCCCCATCTGAAGAGCTTTGAATCTCAAAATCCATCTGGAGCAGAGATATGTATTTTTTTATCTCTGGAGCAATTGGACCAAGTGTTGATGTCTGTCTGGAGGTGACAAATTGCAAAATCTAGTGGACTTCAAATGGGACTGGAGCCGTACCTAGACTGAAAGAAAACGAACAAAAAAACCCCAAACCCAAGAACAGCCCTAGCCCAAGAGGTGTGACGTGACTTCAGACCAGATGTTTGATAGGTTGGATTCCAGTCCTTCTTCTTAACCATGAGCCTCTGTGTTCTGCGTTGTCTCTTGGTGCTTTGTTTGTTTGTTTAGTGCTGCTGGCCACTCGTATTGGTGCAAAAAGCCATTACAGACACCAGTGTGTTTTATTATGCCTTACAGACCAGTGGTCCCGAGGGCAGGATCCCCAGAACCCGCTGTGACAGCTGAAACAGTCCTAGCCATGCTTGCCCTCACCTGTACTTAGGAGCAGCACACGCTCATCTGCGCGGTCCAGGTGCAGGAGTACTCTGCAGTCCAAGAGAGCCGTGGTCTGCGCCGCTACTCAGATGGTTGTTCTTTCATCTAACTGTTTTATTCTGCTTCCAGGAGAGAAATACGAGCTGCATGCAGGAACAGAGTCCACTCCCAGTGTGGTAGTGCACGTCTGCGACAGCGACATGGAAGAAGACGAGGACCCAAAGAATTCTCCAAAGCCAAAAATCATTCAAACTCGGCGCCCTGGTCTGCCACCTCCTGTATCTAACTGAGCTCTCCAGCAGAAGCAGCACTTCTCTCCTCCAGCACAGCTCTTGGGTTTTGTTTGCTTTGTTTTGTTGAAAGGCAGCCATTGCCTTTTGAGTACCAGGACATTACACTCATTGAAATCCCTTCACAGTAATCAAGCCTGTGTAACAAAAGGGCTAGGCAAAAGATCTTTCTATGTGTAACCATATCACACACCAACTAATGATTTTTTCTGGAAAGGACAAAACAAGGCTGAAGAAAGAAGGGAGGGTTTCAGTCTAAGGGTTTTTTTCACAGCTGTAATTTGCATGCTGAAACACCACTACCAGAGAGATCGTTTTGGGTGGGCAATTAGGCCGGCACCAGGCTTGATGTTCAAACTTCCAGAATACTTGCTACTGCCCTTCATCCAGCAGCCTGCTCCTCTCACCTCTTCAGTTCTCCAGCAGACCTTAGTCATTTTTCTTTCTTTTTTTCCTTTTAAGGGGGGGATACGTGTGTTGTTTCTAATCTACTAGCAGCTTGGTGGCCTTTTCATCCCCCTGGAATTTTCTGTAAGGATTACTATCTTTGCAACATTTTTAGAAACTGCAGAAAAACACCCTCTTCCACCAACAGCTGTAGAGTACGCTGGTCTGTTATGGTGGGAGGGATGTGCGACCGAGCTCTCTGGGCTGAGGGGAGAGGCAGCAGCTTGCTGGAGGGTCTGGCGGCTTTCAGTCCTTCTCTCTGAGGAGGAGGGAGCCGGAATATCAATAGAGATTGTCATTTTATCTTCCATAAAGGTATGAGTGGTACTTCTCGCTGGGTTTGGGGAAGAAAGAGAAGCTAACTGACTGCTCATTTAAGATGGGATTCATTGCTCTCTGTTATAGTCGTAAGTTCTAGTAATGCTACAGGCTGAATGCTTTCCTAGTGGTGTGTTGAATAGCCCTGAAACTGTTAGTAATGACTTGTACATCTCTGATATGTAGACCTTTTTCCTCCCCACCTCCTGTGCTGTGAAGCCATTTTTGAGCTGTAGGCAGTTTGGGTTTGTGGAGGTGAGGAGAGGTTAGTTGGTGTTGTTGGGGTTTTTTTTTTCTCTTTTTTTAGGCCAAAGAAAACAGGACCATAATTACACACTTGAAATTAGACTGCATGCAATTGAATCCCCCTTTTTCACTCTGTCCTGCATGTTTCTTTCACTTGCAATGTATACTGGGTTACAAAAATTGTTCTGTGTTTTTGTCATGGCTGACAGCAGACAGATACTGGATTTCCTGTCTGGCAGACCTTCCATGATGATTTTTTTAATGCGTACTTGTCATTTTGAGAACATATTTTCTAGACATTTGAGCTCAGATTTTGCATATATTTAAGCATGCGCTTAATTTGTGCACATGAGTAGTTCCACTGAAATTAATACTGCAGAAAACTGAGCATATGTGTAAGATATGGTGGCATTTTTAAGCTAATTAGCTGCAGCTGTACTCCCAAAAGTGACTATAAAATGGCACAATGAGATTCCACGGTTCAAAATCTTTTACAAGTAAGTAAATACATCTTGGAAGCTCATTCTAGTATCTGAAAAGTCAGTTTAGGTTCTGTAATCAAGATTTTTGTCATAAACCCTAATGATCTGGTTTCTGAGGGAGGGCCCCATTCCACGCTTAATTAGCAGAGAGGCTACAGGCTTCATCAGCCGAGTCCCCCTTGCCGGGCTATTGGCTCTGCAGTACTGCCAGGAAGCAGAGCACGTTGTTGGTGAAGGCAGGAGATGCCATGCTCAACACGTGTGGTGAGGACGTTCTGAGGAGGAGGACTCACCGTTCTCATCTAGTTCGTTCTCTGACCACCACAGGCCCCGAATATTCCTGTTGAGATGTACTGCTTTACTTAGTGTATATCTATAATGTGATGCTCGTTACTGCATTACGGACATCGTCGTGCGTGTGTTGCACTGATAGAGGCACATTAAATACAGCAGAGACTGAACAAAAATGGGGCTTTAGTATCCTCATGATATCTGTGTAAAATTCTCTTAAAGTAACTCCTTAGAGGTTTCACTTCAATTATTTTTTTCAGCGATGCATTTAGAACTGTTTTAAATAAGTAAATTGTCACTCACTGCCCTAGGACTGTAACCTGATGTTCTGTTGGAAACACCACCATAGGCCACCTACGATATTTCAGGAGTAACACCACTGTCTGTTCTGAGAACGTATAGAACGCAAAGGTCCATGGGTTTTAGACCGGTATAAACAGGGAGAGTAACATTTAGACGCGTAAGATTTTTTGTTGATATACGCACATGGCAGAAATTACTGGCCAGCTCCTCAACTGACGTGAGCAGTCACAGATCATCTCCACTCAAAGTCTGGGGTTTTTTACATGAAAAAGTGCTGGAGGCCAAACCTAATGCCTGTACCCATGTACTCAGACTCTGGAGAGACTCGGTTCTGAACTATGGACTTTGGCCTCAAATATTGTAAAACTGCAAACTAAAGCTTTGGGTCTCAAATGTTCTCTCTTCAAAGTCCACGTCCGGATAGATTTAAAAACAGGCCCCGTTCAATGACTACTCTTTGTCTTTATGAATTTGGTACTACCCAGGAGGGAGTGGAACATGGCTCATTGATGAAAGCATAAAAGTAGAAACACAGTTACCAGCCTCAAAAATTCAAAGCTGGTTGTAGCTATGGTCAAAGCTTATATATCACCTTTATAGGACAAAACAGCGGTCATCATAGAAAAATCTTTCAGGTATTGTGGAATAACGTCCCTGTCATGAAAGTAACAGCGTTTGTGGCTCTTAAGAGAACCTGGCATTTTGCTAACACCTGGTTCTCATCTGGCGCAGAAGAAAGGCTTCTTTGGAAAACGCTGACCATCTGGAAGAGCAACTGTCCTGTTTAATTAAGTAATTCGCAGGCAGGGACTCTGCTTCAGTGGGAATTTTGTGAGCCCAGTCCCCCTGACTTGCGCTTTCCACAGGGTGTCCGCAGTGCTGTAGTAGATTCTCTCATGTCGCAACGCTATAAATAAGAATGAAAGCTCTGTGTCACATTATGGCTTCCGATGCCCAGTGACGGAGGTGACTTCCTTTTAATTTCCTTCCCAAGGCAGGAGCCTGCGAGTGGCTGGCAGCGACGCCCTGGGCCCCTCTGCTGAGTGGACCTTTCTCCTGCTGCTGCTGCTTGGAAATTGCAGAAGGAGATTGGGGGAGTGCAGTTGCTGTTTCTGTTGCCCGCTGCCTGCTTGTCCTTTCTGACCTCTTCAGATATGAAATTGAAATTTTAATGACTTCCTCAGTACAGTTAAAAGCATGAAAAAAATTACATTGCATGGAGGAAGGGTATTTTGGAATCTGCTCTTTTGGAACAAAAGAACAAAGAATTTCTGTGGCCTTGATTTTTCTAATTAAGATGAGGTAGTACAAACTCGCCCCTTCCTAGCATATACATACACACTCAAGTACGCTTTGTTTTCAGCAGCAAAAC